TGTATGTATTAATTTTTATGCATAATTTAGTAGGTAAAACTCATGCAACAGCAGAAAAAAAAAAAAAAATTGGTGGCGCCGGCGGCGGGCGGCGGCGGTGGCGGCGGCTGCGCGCCGGCTGGCTCTTGGGATTCCGGCGGCGGCGCAGGGCGGCGAGAGCAAAAGAAGCGGCGGCGGCGGCGGCAGCGGCGGCGGCGGCGGCGGCGCGGCGGCGCACAGGTCTACCTCCGAGATCCGACGCGCGCGAGCCACAGTGCAGCGGCGCGCTTTTCAAATGCAGATGGTGGTGTTCTATGGGTCGCTACCACGGTGGTCGCTACTGGAAATCACCTGTGATCGTGAGTGGAAGCCATGATCTTGAATTTTTGTCTAAAGTCTGGAACACATTATGCGAAAAAATAGACCGAGAATCGCACGGAAATCGGACCATCCGAAACCCGGGATTTCCGGAAGACGAGCTACATGAAGCATTTTTTCCCTCACGGAAATCGCAATGAATTATGATTTCTGCGTGCTTCACCGGGTTTTCTCACGCCGAGCCGCCCGAAAAAAATATCTGACGCTCCAGTCTGTATATGCTGGAAAAAGCGATGAAGAAACTTCATCGTGACGTCGCCGGTGGGAGGAGCCTAATCTTAATCGGCGGCGAACTCAACTGGCAGGGAACTTCATCGCGGCGCGTTGATGACGTCGACGGAGAGTGGCGATTGAGTTGAAACTTCATCGGGATTTGTCAACAAAATATGTCCCTAGAGGGAAATGCGCAACGCCGCATCGAAGGGTCTGTTAAAAACAACTTTTTTAACTTCTGAAAATGTATAATGCGGTAAAATCTAAATGTAATTACCGGTGTCAAGTCTAGGTCGCATGAATCATGTCTTTTTACGTAAGTGAAACAATTTAGATGATCGCAATGCGTGAGCTGCATCGCGATCGTGATGAATCGTCATGGCCGACGGTGGATGTCGCACGTAAAGTGCTCGTGTGTCTGTACGAAGATTTGCCTCACTTTCAGAATTTTTGCTGTCAAGTCGGTCTTTTTCACGTCGCGATTACCACTCGGCAGTCTGGTGGGGGACGTGAACCAAGTGTCCTCGCTGAACTCGAGGAGTACACTGTTAGCAAAAATAACACGCCCAGACGTGTAAACTGTTGTCCCATAGCGGACACGTCGAAACGTGTTCGTTTTACACGGAGCCATCTGTGTTTTTCGTCTACACATGAGGTGCTGTGCAAAGTTAACACGCTACACCGTGTTTGCCTTCCGAGAAGCACGGTTCAACGTGTTCCTTACGAAACATGGCGGACAGCAGCCGAGAACAGGCGAGGGACGAGCCCAGCCAGCCGCGCCTTTCAGCCGAACTGAAAGCATACAGGACGCGTTCGTTCTCGTTCGATGTCTTTTATGCACAGTAAACAGTCTCCGAGCGGCGGACGTAGCTACGTGCAAAGGTACCTACGTGCATCGTCGGCGGTCGGTGGCGTCGGCAGCTACGACAAAACCGCTAGACAAAAACAAAAAAAAAAAAAAACGAATATTGAACTTACATGGATAAATAGCTCAAGCAAACTCTTGTAATCGGGCGGTAACTTGCGCCACCTAGTGCGATTTCTAGCAACCAATGAAAAAAAAAGCAGGAGTCGGTTTATACGCTGGGAACTACCACGAGTAGACTGCTACTCTACATACATCACAGACAACACGAGCACCACGTAGGACACAGCAGCGACACATACACAAACACAACACCGACACTACGCCCGACACTTCCTACTAACAACGGACTCTCCCCGCGGCGTATATATGCTTGACATGTACGGGTGAGCTCTTTGGTCGCTGACCGTTACCGATTTATAGAAGAAGACACAAAACACGGCACAATGGACAGCCGTATGTAAGAACTGTTTGCATTTAAAAAGTATGGAGGCAAAATCTGTAAAATGAGTCCTTTGCGAAAAACAGCGATGTACTAACAATAAATCTTAAACCGGCCATGCAAAAGTTCAAATTTTTGTTATTTTCATGCTCGACCAGTGTTATGAGCAGTCCGACTCGCTTGAATCAGATAGAAAAACAAATGATTGGGATTTTATCAGTACGTATTCAATAATCAATGGAAATTATACTTGCGCAAGGCATTTTTTGTATATATTATTGTGAAGGACATCCGCCCAACACTTCACTTCCGCTAGTTGTAGTACGCGTACGGGAGCAGACGCCTTCACTTTTGGGGCGTTTTGATGCAGATTGTTGTCGTATGTCGTGTTGGTGTCGAGCGAAGCGGTGAGGCTTGGCAGTTTGTGACCGGTGTTATTCGTGATCATTAATGTGGCGCTGATGCGATTTTTTTTTTAAAATATTTCTATATAGCCACAGTGAAAATTCAAGAGCCCGTGGCACTGCATTATGCTAAAATCGCGAGCTCCTTCTCTGTTGACGTCGTTTTTCTGGTAGCACTCGTGGATACTGCAAGCGTTTAAACAGTGCACAGTCTCGCCTACATCCGCGGTGACGTACTCGACCTGTTGAAACTTATTGCTTGCGTCATTTTGGAGTACGCAAGGCAATTATCTCGCTGCTCTGGTTTCGGTTATAAAAGCCAGGCAAAACGCTCGTAGTTCCCGCCCTCAGTACACGTTGGACATCTTCCACACTTTGACACTGGATAACTGGATGAACGAGGATTTACATTTACTTCAGAGGTCACACTCGCCGCTTCCTCACCGTCGAGCAGCAGGATCAGCTGGCGACAAGCCGCGTATGAAAGGCTCGAGCATCAACAGCCCAAGTGCACTCGGTGCCGATGCGGGCGATGCGGGTTTCTGTCAACCGCTAGCCCAGCACAAACCGTGACCGTTCCAGCTCTTCGTCATGACGCGGTGTTGCAGAAAGCAGCGTATAATACCACTACACGGACCACCGAAGCGAACGCACTGTTATCGTAAATCTTGGCTTGTGATTGCGCCTAAATTTGTAAATAATCTTATTCTTTTTTCTGGAGACGCAAACGAAGGGCATAACAAAATCGTTTGCATATTCCGCATACCTCGCAAAAGCATCAGTCACCTTGCGAGAAGCGCAAAACACGGTGTCCGCACCGTCCTGACTTCCCAGTCTCTTACCTGCTTTAGAGCACTCTGTACCTGTTAGTAGGTATGTCTACTGAAACTGCAACTTGAAACTTGGGGCAGTGCCAGAGGGAAAAGAGACAAATTCGGGCCTCTTCCCAATGTAAAGAAAAACCACTATGCTCTCTACGTAAAAAAATTGGTCTCAGTTCATGCATCTGTGGGCAGGTAGAAAATCTTGCCCTAGTTTATTCACACCGCATGATGAGCGCAACAAACTCACACGAGTCACACGAGATTTACAGGAAAACATCGGTGGTGACTTAAGTTTCCCTGAAATTCTGTATAACCGGTCGTTTGCGGGACCGAATCATCTACTCGAGCGGTGTGCGTCGCTGTGCGAACACGTCGCTGTGCAAATGCAGTCTAACGACACGAAGCATAGAAACGGCAGATTTAGGGAAACTATCCGAAGTCCCTTGTTCAATTAAAACGACGTAATTTTGTTGAAAACGTCCGCAGCATTTTACTCACGGTATGCGTCGGGAATCTTCCACATTTTGAAACGGAACGAAGGAAGATTTGCTTTTAAGAACGCTCGCTGCGTCCTCCCCGACCAGCTGGACCGGATCAGCTGACGACGACGGGGCTAAACCCGTCAAACGCAACCCCACAACAACCAATATGAGCTCCGCGTTAGTGCGGGTTTCTACCTACAAGCACCGCACCACACACCACGAACGTTTCGGCCCTTTCTCGCATCGCCGTGTTGCCCCAAACAGAACGAGATCGCCGAAGAACGCAGCGCTGTCGTGAACCTTGGCTTGTGGTTGCGCACTCCTGGACCCTGTGACTCCCCTCGCTTTCAAAGCACACACGACGAATGGTACTTTCCGTCTTCCGGGAACATCACAGGGGCACTTCTCCGGTCACGTCTTCACTATGTGCTCGCAAACTGCTAAGCTCTATGCGAAGCTTCTCGCGTCCCGTCAAACCAAAACGATAGCGGCTGCCAGAAATTTCTCCGGTCAAACAAAAAGAACGAAAGCCAACCGGCTCTTGCTTCCACCGTACATGGACGTTGCGCTTGCGCCATGGCCAGATCGGCCAGTCTGTCTATGCTGGAAAAAGCGATTGAGAAACTCCATCGTGACGTCGCCGGTGGGAGGAGCCTAATCTCAATCGGCGGCGAACTCAACTGGCAGGGAACTCCATCGCGGCTCGTTGATGACGTCGACGAAGAGTGGCGATTGAGTTGAAACTTTATCGGGATTTTGTACCTGAAATTTCCCTCTGGGGAGCAGTGATGTCCCTATGGGGAATATTTTTAGTGCGCAGTGAAGCGTCTTGCAAAAGCAATATTTGTAAATTCCCAAAATGTAGGATACAGTCCAATGGACCTTTTCTAAATACCGACGGCACCAGGCGGTGGCTGCTCGAACTAAAAATCGAGGAAGTGACCTACTTGCGCTACCAATCGATACTGGGAGCTCTGTCGCCGTGCACAACGCGACTTTAAAGAGGGAAATCCATAGCGTCCACCCAAACGTCGTGTTTTTCTTTCCGTCCACTTTCTTTTTTTGTGTAACACAATTATATATATGCTGCCAGTACGTGTTCTACTCGTCGATCTACAACCTCATTCCGAATTTCCTCGATTTTTCGTGCCGACTTCCACCGCTTGGCATCGGGCGCTCGCGCGTGCGCAGAACGCTTCTCGGAAAAGGTCCATTGAAATGAAAACACTTGCATTCAATTATGGTTGCTCCAAAAAAAAAATATTTTTACGTAAGGGGCACAGTAATCGTGTGCTGCGGCACTTCGTGATGAACCGGATCTTCGGCTGTTCTGTGGATGTAGCAATGGCCGAAAACTGTGCGAAAAAACGTAGGCTCGGCGCTCGCGTGTCCCCAGGGCAGTTCGCGCTTTTGTTAGACTATCTGGCGGCCAACCCGGCCCTTCTTAGGGCCGCCACGGATAGTCCGTTGACTAAGGAAGAGCGGAACGCCCTGTGGGACACAGTGGGAACCGAGCTGAATGCTCAAGGCCCGGCCATAAAAAGCCGGGCCGAGTGGAAAGCTCACTGGAATGGTCGCGTGTGCGCGGCGAGGCGGCGCGATAGCGACATTTCTTGTGCCACTAGACAGACCGGCGGGGGTGTGAACCCCATACCCCCCCTAAACGCCGAGGAGGAGAAAGTCCTGGCCCTCGTGGGCACCGATTTATCGAGGGGGTGCGGGGGACGACGAGTCGGAGTGGCGCCGATCGTGGAAGTACCTGCAGAGGCGGTAAGTACGTAGAATCGTAGCTCAGGTGCTATGCTGCGTTTGACCTATTGAGCAAGGACTAAATAACGCGAACTGGAGCGTTTGTGCTTTCTCCTGTTGTTTCCGTGAAAGCTTGGATCGTGCTCCTGAAGTTCACGGGCAATTGTTCTCATGGACCATGCTCTATTTATGCCTGGAGTGTTGGAGATGCCACATTACATTCACACATCGCCAGAAAGCCGGTCCTGTTGACATGCTGTTGTGTTGACCGGGTTTCACTGCATTATACAGGACCCCTCACCACCTGATGAGGACGAGGCAGCACCGGAATCACCCCTTCCTGTGCCGACACCCACTGCACAAGTGGCAGCGCCACCCCAACCGAGTGGTGCGTGCGAAAAGCAAATTTACATATCGTAGAATGCATACTTGCTACTTTCGATTTACCTGCATCTCCTGCACCGGTGCATTCTGCAGCACTGGATTTACGAGTGCGGCCTGTAGCAAAACTCGACTCGAAGCTGACTGCTGCACTTTTCTGCACCATGCTACACCTTTCTGCATCGGTGGAGGCTGGTGCACATGCAAGTCGAAGGCCAGTGTAGAATGTGCCTCATGTTATTTTCAGTACACCAGCCGCCAGGTGCCCTGCCTCCCCGTGTGGTGAGGGTACGATCTGGGCCAGAGTGTACCACCAGGGACCTCCTGGCTACGCAGAAGGAGCAGCTGGCTGCCCAGCTGGACCTGTTGGCTACCCAACAGGGCCTTCTGGCCACGCAGAGGGAGCAGCTGGCTGCCCAGCGGGACCTGGTGGCCACCCAGCAGCTACAGCTGGCAGCATTGCAGCAGATAATTGAGCTGCGCAGGGGCACACAAGAAGCAATACGTGGGCTGACAAGTGTAAGTATTCTGTTTTAAACCATCAAGCACCCTGGGCAAACTCCAGCCATGGTGCCCCTCCCCCTTCTCCCGTTTTGTAGGTATAATGGCACGCTGTGCGAGTAGACGCTGTGCGAGTAGTGGGCCAACACAAGTGTTTTGTCAGATGAGAAGAACCACATTCCAAAAACAAAGGGTGTTGTGTTCAAATAAATAAATAAAAAGCTAAAAGAATGTCAAGAGAGTGCAGCAGTGTCCCCATATTGACGGCACCCTAGGTGGTCGCCACTTTTAGGGCCGGCCCTGCCCGAGAGGCATACTTACTAATGAGAGCACTGACATCTGCATTCAAACCATCCGTTCCGTTGCACGATACGCCAAGAACATGCTGTTCAAGTACTATTTATTAAACATGTCCTTATTGAAAGATTTGCAGTAGAATTCGTTTTTTGTGAGTATATCCCCTTTCTCCTTTGCCTGCAGGCTGTGGAGGGACCAGCAGCCGCCAGCACACAGCAATCATCATCATTGACAACCTTAATACTACACCTTATGGGGGTGCGGAACTTGCAGCCGCCACAATAAAGAAATCTCGACATAATTTCCTTTGTCATTTATTTTATAGTGCTCTAAAGATGACCACATTTACCCTTGTCAACAGTACACCACAACACACAAATGTTGCAATCCTAAGAATAAAACAAAATATCGGATTGAAATGCCCATAATCTATATAAACACTTTTATTACAAATTTCTAAAATCGGTAAAAGGAAAAAAAAAAAACATCTATATCAGGTGAGAGCGAACTGCTACACAAGGCTTCCATAGTTACTGTAAAGGGAGATGATAATTTAACATGTAAGTTACAGTACAGTGACAGGAAAACCTGACAGGCTGGGGCAGCAAGAACCTGTAGGAAGCAGCAACTTCTTAGTGGGGTGTTGCAATATTGCTTAAGAAAACAATAATTATACTTGTCATCCCAAGAAAAGAAAAATAAATGGAATGGATCGTAGTTCGTACGCTGCACAAGTGGAGTGAGGCGTAGAAGATTTTGTTGTCGATAAAAGCAATCCTTTCTGCATGCAAAAAGCCTTGCGATTTGATTCAGAGTAATCTAAAATGCATGCTCAAGTGCTTGAATACAGTAGACAACTTAATATTTGCAATTATTTGCAACTGAAATATAGACCCCCACAAATATATTACTATATGGTAACAGTTACATAGCATACAACTCCCAATCATGAAATTTTGTGCCTGTGAAATATTCCCAAACCTCACACTTCCCAAATATTGAAAAGTGTCGAAAATAAAGTGGTTTACAGTGCATGGCATAAAGGGGAAAATCGATAAAGCACCAAGAGAAGCAAAGGCAAGTATAGGACGATCATGTCTACAACAGCAATCAAAGAAATATACATAAAAGTTGTACACACAAAGTTGTATCACATCAGACAGGTTGCAAAGGAGGACTCAAAGAACCAAGCACAGGGATAAGTATATTGCACTAATATGATAAACATAGCCATGGACAAAGCCAACAAACCAGCAGGGGCATGTTACCATGCACTACATGCGGCACACATCATGCCAGTGGCAAGAGAAACCACTTCCACTGATTGCCAGCAAGTTACAAGGTTAGCGGCTGTCAACATCTGGCTGAGTGACCTTAATATTCCCAACAGCACTGTGCTCAGCTGTGGTGCTGATAGTCGTTGACCTCTCAAATGATTGACGCTCAGAGGAAATGGTTCCTCCCGCCACTGCAATGGAAATCCCCCAGACGTAAAAAAAAAGTAGCCTGGATAGGGTTTTACACTTGTGCAGGGCGAGCAGGGCGAGCACGGCGACCCCGTCGAGACGGACGACCCCAGTGGGCAGGACGACCCCGGTGAGCAGGGCGTGCGTGGCGAGCGGAGGCAGCCACCTCCCTCACTTTGCGCCGCCGCATCGCTTGCCCTCTCTCCCTCAGGGTCCGGGCTTGGGGTTCACAGTCGCTGCTGTCTGACCCCTCACAGTCCTCGGAATCCGACTCATCAGACACGAGGGGCTCGGGAACAGGCTCTGGGATTGTGCAATAAATGCACACATTGTGCAAAACGACACATGCAGTGGCTATATTGCAAGCCCTCTCAGGGTCGTAATGGAGGGCTCGATACCCCTGTAGGCATCTAAATTTGTTTTTTAGCATGCCGATGCATCGCTCCACAATTGAGCGGGTGGACCGATGCTTTCTATTGAAAGCGGCCTCGGCTCCAGCTGGGTTGCCTGCAACTGGGGTGAGCAGCCACGGCTCCAATGGGTAGCCGCTGTCACCTGCACACAACAATGTGACAGGATTCGTCATGAATATTCTGCCAAAAGTCTGAATGCATTTCTGCAACATAAATGGTTTTCAGGGCAAATGCAGCTTCTACTGGTGGCCACATGATTGGGAGTTGTGTACTCTATCCCACTTTCCTGCGCAAAGATAAAAAGGAAAGACAGGACAATGTTTAAATGAGATGCTACCCTACAGTCTAATGTCTGCAGAATAGCATCAGGACACCTCAGAGTGCATTGCTGCAACTGGGAGCAACCTAGCTTCTATTTGAAAAAATCACAGTCATTAGTAGACACCGAGACCAGGTAACCCAGGAGACTATAGACGAGGTCAAGCAACTAGAGCCACAAGCTGTCGGTGCCCCTCATTATTTCTCTCGGATAAGGAGTGTTGCTTTTTAGCTAAGCAAGGTACCCTGCTCAAGTCAGTTCAGGAGCGTGTGACCTCTACATTGTATGTTTTCTTTCCCCGGCTTGTTTGGTTGTGGCACCTGCAGCATTTGCACTCGACGTCAGCACTAATACAGTTTAGTTGTAGGTCAGTGCTTTTATCTGTTTGGGTTCTTTTACTCTGTTTGTGTCGCTGCACCATTCGTACTTTAAAGAACAGATTGCTAAGTAGCCCCAGTTGTTCCTCACTTTCACGAGCCATTGCTGGTTTCCTGGTGGCTTGTGGCCAGAGAGATTTTGGTTGTCAGACTGCATACTGCCACAAGAAAATTTGTCGAACTACAGTGGCAGGTAATTAAAAAAGATGAATGAAATAAAATTGTCTGGAACTGGTGTTTTTAGGTAATACTGTGTGTATTTTTATATGACCTCAGGAACATATGAAACATGCAACAAAATTGTGGCCAAAGTCAAGACGGGACAACTTGCAAACTACTTACCAAGCAGGCACTCGTCAGCTTGAATGAGCTTCCCGGCGACAAACTCCTCTCTCAGGAGGGATGCCCGCCACACAAACGAGTCGTGCACCGACCCTGGAAATGTCCCATCGAAGCTCGTGATCCTCAAATCGGCGTCGCAAACCTGCAAAATAAAAATGTGGTATTTAGCGTGTTTGTTGGCTATTGAGCTACTGTTGATGCCCAAAGCAAAAATGCCTGCTGTCTTCTCACACGTTCAATGAACTCAACTTTTCTGTTTCCTGAAGTTTAATAGGGAATGCCAAGTGTGAAATATTCATTGGTGTTAAATACACTGTGATGATTTTTAAGTACAAATGATCAACTCAAGCGCGTAGCATAGAAAACATGGCTCCCCCCGGTTCTAATGTGTGTACAGGTAACGTGCACTGTACTGTGACCCTAAAGCATGCAACATCACAACAGCTGAGAGGTTTTGATAGGTATGTGCTGAGACGCGGCAGCTCGAGTGAGTGCACGCCCAAGTAGCAATTGTTCTTCTCTCTCTGTATGGTTCCGAAGGACTCAAGTCAACATAACAATTCTTTTTCATATGGTAATGATGACACACGTGTAGCTGTCAGACAACAAAAATGCAAGAGTAGCGAAATGTGAACCCAAGCTGTGGCGGGGTGCACTGAATCGACTGCGGCTACTGAGAAGTGACTCGCCGAACACCGGCAGTGTGGATGTGCAGTGGTCGCGTGTCACTACTCGCCAGGGTGAACGTGCCTTTAATGTGTTAAATGATTTCGCCATCCGTCACTTTTAAAATCGTTCCAAGTCTACTAGTTATCTTTTACTCAATATACATCTCACCAAGCGTTTGGCGCAGGCGTGGTGCCGCCACAACTTTAGTTTGCAGGAGGCACACTGCAGTGCATGAGGACTCATGCCATCTCCTGCTCTACACGTGCAGTTCCAGTGGGGTTGTTGCACGTGCAGAAGAACTAAAGTTCCCTCGAGGCATTGCGGCAGCAGTGGCATAGTTAAAATGGCTAGTGAGATACGTCTATTAGTATTTCCAGACTGTTAAGTTTGCCTGCATTGTGATATCCATTGAGCTTCGAGGAACAGACCGGGAATTGACGAGCACATGCCAGGCACGCACATTGTTACTCCGATTTCTTTTTGACAACCTGTGCTTTATACATGGTGGGCACACCAGAAGCATCCTCTGGCCGCCTATCACATATGTATAACTTGGAACTGTGAAAATACACTTACCACCATAGCATTGAGGGCATAGTAGTTTTTGCGGCACCAGTATGCCGCCTTAGAGAACCGTTCATCGTTCTCAGATGGAGCCCGGATGGCAATCTGAATCCCATCAACGCACCCTGTAAAACAAAATGGTTTTCAGTTCACTTTATCTCTATGAACACAAAACTTCAAGGAGAAGGGCTGGTGCCGTGCTAGGGCAAATGAAAACACGAGAATGAATACAGCATGCTGCAACATAGTTAATCGGAACAATTTTCTGATCCTGGGGGTCGCCAACTTACGATAGTTCTCGCCCCTATCATGTCCGTGTGCTTTAATAAGTCGTTAGACTGATTAAGCTATCACGTCCAAATTCTATTTTCTACCGAAAACTCTCGACTAAGCGCATTGATTGACTGTCAGACACAGCAGTGTTAATACATAGAGGGTATTTACCGATCACGCCACTGAAGCCGCACAGAAGGTAAAATTTCCTCTTGGCTGCCGCCTTCTCTTGGTCCGTCTGCGGGAACTTCACCCACGCTGGACCGAGGCAATCGATGATTGCCTCCGTCACGTCCACCAGCACGCGACTTACACTGCACTGATGAATTGCAATGTTTTCATCGCTTGCCACTGTGCCCTGGAAGCCGCCAGCGGCATAAAAACGGAGGGCGACGAGTACTTGCAGCTCCACGGTCAGCACATGAGGCCCCACGCGACGTCGTTGGAGCTTTCGGCGGAGCTCGTTGCAAAGCCAACGGGCTACGTCCTTCGTGAGGCGGTATTCACGCACAAACCTAGCCTCCGACATATCGAAGGCGTCGCGGTGGTTCCGGAAAACGCGCTCCGACTCTGAACGTAACAACAGCGCCCCGTCTGTCTATGCTAGATCGCAAGCTCAACGATGAAGTTAACTCAATCGGTCTCTGATTGGCTGCCCTTTTGGTCACGTGATGTGACGTTGCGATTGAGTTTTTCCCTACGGATTCCGACGGAGTTCGAGCTATGCTGTTGAAATAATGAAGTTCGCGGTGACGTCAAAATGTCGTCACGATTGAGTTTGGCGATGGAGATAACTTTGTAGTAGTCGGGCAGCAAAAGTTGCCAAAGTCAATGAAGATGGCGACGTTCAAGCTCGCGGACGGGGCGGACCAAAGTGGACTATCGCTACGTTTTTATGTGTTCGCCGTTCAAGGTTCGTCAGGGACGTAATCGGGGAATACTGCCCGACACTCACTGGTGCTGACATTTGCCGTGGAAGCTTTGGCGGCGTCGCGAAGGGCCCCATAGGTGACCGCCGAGCAGCAAGTGCTCTCTTTGAGCGTTACTGGCGGCACATTTTGCTGCGACGTAGACGTCACCGTGCGTCGGTGTGCTGCGAGTCGCATTCTTTTGATGATACAGAGGCGATAATCGATGACCCGGGGCTGAAGGTGGGTGGGCTTCGCGCGCCAAGTGAAGACGGAAAGACGACGACCAAGAAGTTCAGCGATGCGAATTCAGCGGTGTTGTCGGTAAGTGCTCAATACACATTTTCTCAATGCGCTTGCACGAGAGCTCTCGGTAGAAAACGCGTGCCTCGTTCACCGTGATGAGTGTCGTGTGAGATAGTCGCACGGATTCAAGCTTACTCGTGATTGCATGTGTATCATCCAAACGTCTCGGGCCTCAACATCTGGAAATTGTTCTGCTGCAGCACGTTGTGTAAGTTTTCATTTTACGATTGCAGGTTCAAACTGCTACGGTATCTTGTTCTTTGCTTGTGTTGTCTGAAACGTTTCTGCTACTTTTCTGCCACACCGGGTAGGGCGCCTCGTCAAGCTGCAAGCCATGCAGCTTGACGCTTGACATTATATGCCCCATCTCCCACCTTTGTATATAAAGGAAAATAAAGAGATTATAAACTCAATTGACACCCCTTTGCTCTGAAGGCATAATTTTGGGTATTGTGCAAGACAAGTGGAATATCTCCACTTTTTTTTCCAACTTTTTTGTTATTACATTTTCAGCCTTTTTGGGATCGTATGCAACTACTATCTCCAAGTAGAGGCTGCATTAGCATATAGAATTTCTACCTAGTCTTGATGTGCTTTTGGACAACTGAAAATGTTATGAAACATTCATGTCAGATACCACCTCACTGTTGTGTGCAGGTGACTGCGACAAAACCCTGAAGCCATGCTTGCACACCAATTCCTCGCAACCCCAATGGATGCTTTATTGCTTAGGATTCTGTCGTAGAGCAGTGAATGGGATGCTGAAAAGCAGGTTCCGGTGGTTGCAAAGGTGCTAGGCACAGCAACATCATTTGACTTTCTGCACAATGTGGGCTTGTATTGCTCTATTTTGGGGCCTCTCCCTTGAGCCCCAAGAGTCCGACCCTGAGGACGGTGTAAGTTTTGACAGCAGAGGACACGCTGTGCGGTGCTGAATATCTGAAAAGTGGCCACCTCTGAAAGTATGTGCTGCCTACCAGGGTCTCCCTGCTCAAACTTGAAGCCTGGCTGCTGTTGAGGCTACTACGAGCTTTGTCTCTCGTCACATCTGCGAAATATACTTGTGTGTATCCGTTTGCAATGTTTTGTCATACTTTGTTACTTGCTAAATCAAGTAGACACGGTAAGTCCCTTTGGTTGCAGAGTGGTCTACCTCAAAGACAGTTCAAGCGGAGTTTTGGTATGGCACCTAAAAATGGAAATTTGTAATAAGGTGATGTTTCTGAAAAAGCTTTTTAACACAATGTTTTTGGCAGGTTAACCTTGCAAAAATGCAAACCGCATAAGTGAAACGTCGAGGCATTAGAATCGAGAATAAAAGAGGGCCTCCTCATGGGTGGCATCTTGTTTCCCATTGACTGCATAAGCATTCTGGCTCTAACAGTATATTGTTCCAAGCATAGAGGAAGAAAAGGTGAAGAATTAACTGTGGTTGTTGGTATCTGGACGATTGAACTTGCACCGCCGTGTCACCGTTAATTGTCAAATTTCTGGTTCCCTGTATATGAAATATACATCGACATCTGAAGTCGAGATACGAGTCCCGGCACATAAACAATTGCACCGATATTTCGTGACCCAAAATTTGTATTCGATGTATGACAATTTTGTCGGGTATGACCAAGGTAGTGCTGCAAACCTTTTTTCCATGCTATACTGAAATCATGACAGACGCAAAATGGTGCCTAGGGAGCATGTTTTATTGTGAAAGGAAATTCTGCACCCCTATGAGGGGCAGCACGAGTGTGGTCAGTGAAGATGACTGCTGGCTATCTGCAGCTGCTTGTCCCTCCACAGCCTGCAAACAAAGTACACGAAAAGGGTGAACGTTTATAAAAACGAGCATTTGTAAAGACTATGTTACAGAAATTGCATAGAACAAGAGAATCCCGGGGTGCGGTGAGCAGTAGTGTATGGCATACCACTGCTTTTACCTTCTTTTAGAACTCTTATGCAGTGCTGGAAATATCAAGAATGCGAGACTCCTGAAAGACATTTTGTTTATGCGGGCACCTTCCTAACCAAGGAACTGCTCAGACCAGCAAGCTCATGCTGTGGGTCTTCCAGTACAACACACAACCTATGAAGCAAGCAGCCTTGAGCAATGTGCACCTAGCATGATCCAATTACTTTGCAGCAGACAGGCCTGCTCTGTCCATTACATGAAAAATGGAAAGCGAAAAGTGGGAAATCACTCACTTCAAAACACAACACAAGGTCCGAAAATGAAAAGGAGCGAAAACAGAAGAGTCCTGCATTCACTTTCCTTTATGCTATAACTGTCTGTCATAACTGATTCCCAATGACAATTTAACTGTTGTTCCCGTTAATGTTTGTGGTGCTGAGGAAGTGCAGCTCTTCCGCATTGCATTGAGCAAACAACAAAGACTGTGAGCCCAAGCTGCTCTGGGTGTAACTCAATAAAGCAAGGACGAAGAAACTTGGCCTGGAATAATTCATTAGTGCCATATGACACAGGTTTTCTTTCGACGGTTCTCCAAACAATGCTTGCCAGCCAATTTTAGACCTTGACTGCACTTCTCTACATCTAGGGCACTCATGCTGTAATGTTGGGTGCTCAGCAGCATGTGCAATGCAACCAGCTGCTCCCGCTGAGTGGGCGAGAGGTCCTAAACAGTGCAGCTGGGGGCAGTTCAGGCCCTCACCATCCAGTGTGGCAGTGTACAGCTGCAGCTGAAAAAGATTAGCACAAGTGACCGATGACCGGAGTAGCAAAATTGCGACAGGCAGCGCTACTGTTCCCGAGCGCGCCGATAGCGAGTTCCAGTCATGTTCCATGTCTCAACGTTGGTGGCTGCCAGAAAATTGAGGGATAAGATAGCTTTAGGATGGGCTGCTTTGTGCCGCCCACCACCGTGTGTCGCGATTTTGCAGCTCCGGTCGTTGGTCGCATGTGCTTATCTTTTTCCACTGCAGCTCTACCTGATGACTGGTGCACAGCTGACATGACACAGTTCCAGTAGCATGCATACATGGTTTGCAGGTAATGTCATGTCAGTACAAAGGACAAGACCTTTGAGTACTTCCAAGGGCACCGTGTTGGTGACCACCACTTGGTACATGTCAGACGTGGTTAATGGCAGAGGCTGCTCATATTGCCATGCACGTCTCCGAGCAAGCTTGCCCGTGGCCGATTGGTCATTGTGCTTAGCTTGCACACAAAGGGCTGAGGTATGATGCCTGGCCGCACATGCACCTTTTTGTTATTTCTGTAAATGTTGCATTCTGGTTTAATTCAAGAATCCCATTGCTTGTTCAAAGTCAGAATGTTCTACGCACCAAACTTTCTATGCCGATTGTTCCAGAAGTCCACGCATATACATAAGGGGCTCTGCGTGGCGATACAGAGAGAGTCTCGCTCTTGCGCTCGATTGTGCTACTCCGCCGACCTTCGATGCCTGTGATGCTACCTCTTTGTATTTTTGTTTTCGGCACAAGTTTGCCAAATTAATTGTTTAGTTTCTGTTCATTCATCACCTGACCATCTGTCATTCGCGAAATTTTGGTGGATGTGCGGGACATTAACAAAAAGGTGCATGCGCAGCCAGAAATGGAACCTTGGCCCTTTGTGTGGGAACCAAGTACGAGAACCATTCGCCAACGGGCGCGCTTGCTCGGAGACATGCGGGGAAATATGTGCTAGTGCAGGCACTTGGGCTAAGCCTAGGCAGAAGTTTAAACCGTCAAGTGATGATGACAAAGTTTGTCCGTGTTTCTCCAGTTCAGTACGCAGAAAATATTGCTCTGTGTGGTGGCGAGAACCCTCTGCTACTTCCTCTCAACTGTGACAGATTGTGATATTTAGCCAAAGGTGGAGGACGTGAATACCTGAGTGCAAAAAAATGAAGAGAAGTATACAAAACTGCACGTCGATGATTTTGCCGAGTTCGACAGGCAATGCCCAGCCAGGTGCGTCCTGCTTCCGCAGCCCTTTGCAGCAAATAATTTTAGAAGTGGACCTTTTATATAAATAGCGGACACCGGTTTTGGAATTGGTGAGCCAGTTTTGTCTTAGTGTCATTCCCATGTCAATTTCAGGGCAGTGGGTAGATATGGTGCTCCCGGGTATGTTCGGTGGAAGCAGGTTGCTGTTGGGAAACAGGACCGGAGGCACAGTCTTTTTCCTGACACAGTCTCATTAATTGGATCTGTGTCTTGTCCGATACAAAACTCAAGTAACCACGTGTGGATTGTATCTGCACCATGTGTACATTTAAGTTTTTGTAAGTCTTGCTGAGGTGTCACCTTGCTAGAAACATCAACACGGTTGGACCTACAGTCACCTTGGGAGCTACCGACCGGGCACAATATGTTAATG